AGGTTCGGCTGTGCTTAAAAGCAGAGCCAAAGAACTAAAGATTAGCTAGAAAACAAGAAATGTAACGATTTCCTGCTTTCTAGCTAATCTAAATCTCCTGGCACAGCAGAAGAGCTGATGGTCGGAAAAAGGAAAAAAAGCAATTTAGCAGGCAAGTTTGCCAGGTAAGGAGTGAGTGGGCGGGGAGGGTTCCCATGGGCCATGTGGGTGGCGCAGCCTTATGTTTCTGTGCAGCCTGGATTAATTGCTTTGGGGAGGTGCTCTGGGAGTGAGATTTCTCTAAGGCCCACCAAATTTTTCTTGTGGCCCACCAGTGTGCCACAGCCCACCAGTTGGCAACCGCTGGACTAGATGGCCTCCAAGGTCCCTTCTAACTCTGTTATTCTATGATTCTGTAAGGATCTCATGCTGGAGCAGAGGGTTGGACTAGAACAGGGGTCTTCAAACTTGACAGCTTTAAGACTTGGACTTCAATTCCTAGAATTCTTCCTCCAGTCATGTTAGCTCAGAAATTCTGGGAGCTGAAGTCCACAAGTTTTAAACTTGCCAAGTTTGAAGACCCTTGGACTAGAAGATGATCTCCGAGATCCTTTCCCGCCCTAGATTCCTGTGCTATTTCAAAGAGTCTTCTGAAACCAGGGTTTGTGTCCTTCCTTTCCTTTTTTTTCTCTCTCCCTCCCTCCCTCTTTCCATGTATCTATCCATCCATTCATCCATATATCTCATTTACTTTCTCCTCCTTCCTTCCCTCCTCCTCTTTCCTTCCTTCCTTCCTTCCTTCCTTCCTTCCTTCCTTCCTTCCTTCCTTCCATCCATCCCATCTTTCTTTATCTATCCCTTTCTCTCTCTTTCTCCCTTTTTCTTCCCTTCCCTTCCCTTTTCTTTTCTTTCTTCCTTCTCTCTCTCTTTCTTTCTCTTTCCCCCTCTCTCTTTCCCCCCTCTCCCTCTCTCTTTCTCTTTCTCTCTCTTCCCTCCTCCTTCCTCTCTCCTTCTAAAGCTAGGAGAGGAGACCCACCTGAAACAAACACACACATACAAACTTTCAAGTGCCCAGCACCATCGCTCCTTATGAGGGTTTTTCCTGGCTGGTCTCCTGTCCCGCGTTGCCCGAAAAAAGCAGGAGGCAAGGCTTCTGGGTCCAACAAAGCGGCCGCTCCTTTGAGACTTCCAAAGACTTCTTCCCCTTCCGCTTTTGGGGAAAGGAAAGGGCTGAGAACTTCAAGTGAGGTGTCTGCTGCAGCCTTGCACCCCCCCACGCCGGCAGCTCTGGGCTAGGGAGCAGTTTGGCTTTCCCGACTGCCTGAAACGCTACCTTGATCCTGCAGCTGGTGGCAGAAGGAAAGACAAGCCAGCCAGGTCAGAGCTGTTGTTACTTGGCTCCTTGCCAGCCCACATCTCATCCCCTGCCCAGATTCTCAGGCAGCTTCTGGGGCTCACCTACCAGGATGCATGGGGACAGGGCGACCAGGAAGCACGAGGCTACTCTGCCTGCATCGCCCAGGGCAGCTGTCCCTCCCTCGCCGAACAATCATTTTGGCAATTGTTGCAGGGAGGGAGAGCTTCATTTGTTCAATTTCTACCTATCCCACCATTAGGCACTACAAAAAACAGAAGAGGTTAATACAGCCTGACAAGAAACAAGAGCGGCAGGGAAGATGCAAGAAGCGAAGCCAGAAAGTGAAGCCAAGCCTACACTCCCACACAAAGCCTCTCACCTGCCACGTGCTCGGCCCTGCCTCTTGCCCTGCTGCTTCACTCCCGCTAACTGTTTTCTTGGTTTTCCAACCGTCTTTCTACACAAACTTCCCCCACGACCCCACCAGCGAGCTCCCTTATTGGCCCACTGCTCAAGCAGTGGTAGTTGTCAATTTCTAGCGTTATCTCTGTTTGGGTGTTTAGTTACAGCCTCTTTGGGCAATGAGGAGTATCGAGGATACCCAGAAAGATGGAATAAGGTTGCCACACTCACCCTTTCTCCTAGCACTCACCCACACTTACGAGCTGCTGGAACTCACCTGCTGGGAGGCGTGGTGACCAGGAAGCATGAAGCTATGCTGCCTGTATTGCCCAGAGCAGCTGCCCTCCATCTCCAGGCCGAGCATTTTGGTAGAGTGCAGGCTGCCATTGTGACATTGGTGCGAGCTCCATGGGCTGGAAGGTATGGCTGATGGCAGGGAAGGAAGATCTGCTCTGGCGAGGCTTGACTGCCTTTCAGGCCCTGCTCTGGGTTGCCACCTGTTCAACCTCCACCCAGCCTTGGGTCCTGCATCAGCCCACGACAAGGGGACATACTGCTTCCAGGCCAGCCCGGCCAGTGGATGGGCGAAAAGACAACCCTCGGGGGAGGCATTTTCTCTCAGGCCTCCCACGTGGAAGGCCCCACAGAAGCCAAAGGTGGGCCTGAAAGGCAGCCTCACTTCACCCACCCCCCCAGGCAGCCCTTTGGCTGATCGTAGCAAACCCGGTATAGATCTTCCTTCCCCACCATCAGCATTAGGGCTCGCTCACAGCATTCTCAGCAGCTGCCCACACTCGACCAAAGTACGCAGGTTGGCGGGCAGGAGAGGAAAGAGGCGCCAGGCAAAGGGGCGAGGTGGGCAGCATAATGTCGTGCTCCCTGGTCACCACCTCCCCGCACCCATCCCTAGCAGGCAAGGCCCAGCAGCTGTGGAGAATCCAGGCAGGGGGTAAGATCCAGGCTGGTGGGGACCCAAGTGGTGACAGGTCAACGCTGGCTCGCCTTCCTCTCTGCCACCAGCAAGCCAGGCAAACTGGAGACCAGGGGAAGTGGGGAGAAAAGCTTGTTAGGCCGCAAGTGTTGCCTGGGATGGAGCCACACTGGTGGGAAGCCAGCCACCTGAGCCCGGGAACAGTGTGTGGGCCCGCCAAGATCCGGGAATGGGGGGGGGGGCTATCCCGACTTGCAGGCTTACCTGTGAGCAGCAGGCAACTCAGGGCTGTTCAATTGAGGTGCAGGCACCACAAGGGAAGGCTAGAATGGCAAGCCATGAGGACCCAGCATGCCTCATAGGAGGGGAGGTATGACTGGGTGGGGCGAGCCATGCCAGCATTGGGTGGGCAGGGTGAGCAAGTGACATCGGGCAGGCGGGGCAAGCGAGCAAGTGGCAACCAGGCGGATGGGTCGGGGACGTGGCCAGCCAGAAGTTACTACCAGTTTGGCAACCCATGCCAAATCCTTCTTACTGGTTCACCCGATCCAGTGGCAACCGGCTGAATACCACCACTGATTAACAGTAAAAATTTGACAAAACTTCAGCTCTTCAAGATACTGTTTTGGAGACACTCTGAATGTGGCTATTAGGGAAGGACAAACATAGTGGAATATTTATTAACTGATACCTGTCTTTATGCAAGCTTGTACTGCTGTAATCTGTTTATTAATGCTTATTCTAATGAAAAATTGCTTTAAAAGTCTGTGAAAGACAAGTTATACCCTATATGAAAATTGAATTGCATTTTATTTATTTCTAGTAAGTATAATAAAGAAATATACCTTTCCTCTTCTTTATGAAAAATGTATATGAAAACATCTTCATATACAACATAATAAAACAGAAGAAATGTCAGAAAAATGAGATCACATCTTATTAATATAAATATGAAGTAAAATTATTTATATTCACAACTGCATTTCAGAATTCTGGAATACCCCTATATAGCAGAGAATAAGACAGAATAAAATTGTGCTCCTGACTTTTGATAGCAGTTTTATTATCATTGATAGGAGCAGAATAGGAAATAAGAATAAGGAATAAATAAGACTTTTTCCCCCATTCTTCCAAGAACTGCTGGACCACCTAATGTATTTGCTTTATTTCTACCACACCTTTCCCACTATGAACTCTCAATACTCAAATAGACACCATTTCTAGTAGCTATCATATAGACATTTTGCACTGGCTTAAAAAGGAAATGTTACAAAGGTAACCGGCTTTTAGTCAATTGCTTGCCCTAGTATCCTGTTTAAATTTCAATTATTCCAGACCTATTGGAAATATTGGAAACCATGGTAATAAGCACAAACACATTTACTTTCAATAAAGGCTAATTAACTTTCAGATTATATTTCCATCTTTAAAGAAATATGATAACAACTGAAATCTCAGATCTCTTCAGCTTTCAAAATGATCAAAAACTCCATAATGTACAGGAAATACAGGTTTCATATTTATTTATAATAAAAACAAAAACAATTAAAAGGTTAAATTTCCTTCCGTGAAAACATTAATTTAAATATAAAACTATAATAAATATCTCATTTAAAAATCTCTTTCCAGTTACAAAACCACTATGAAATATCTATAATTTTAACATGATTCCATTTTTATACCAAAACATAGACTGGCAAAGTAATATAACCATCCAGTTAGTTTTCATAAGTCTTGATCATAAACTTGCAAAATTTATGTGCTAGTTTATATTCAGAATTGTCCTTTAAATTTTTTATGTTAACTAATTAAATTATCTTTGGGAGAAGAACACAGTTCCATGACCTTAAAATAGCATAAATATTAATTTTCCAATCACAAAATATATTTTATTTGTTAAACTGCTGTTATGATGCAAAAGATAGAAATATAGTTCAGATTCAGTTGTAAAGTCCATAGTAATCTAAACTGATCTAATCTAATCTGAAATAGTATTACTTCTGCTTGAGCAGGGGTCTGGACTAGAAGACCTCCAAGATCCCTTCCTATTTTGTTCTGTTCTGTTATTCCATTCCATTATACTGTAGACATTATTATTGAATGAAAGAGTGCATTTATATATATAAAAAAAGATGCTTGGTAAGTGTTTTAGATTTTTCTAAAGAAAACTCTCACGGTTAAATACCTCTTTAGTATATTATCTGATGTAACTAAATCATCTAGATTTGCAACTGTTATCTGCCATGCACACAAGAATATATGCTGAAGTCTAGTAATTTAGGGTAAGAGGCTTGTCCAAATTTTTCTTCATTTTTTTTAAAAAGAAGGTACATGTGCGCTGACCTTAAAGCACCTTTGCTTCTTCGGTTCTTGATCCTTTCCTACTGCAACTGCACAGGTGACAAGCAGACTCCAGAGATTCAGGGCTTGCATGCAGGCTGCCAACAAAAATCAAGGGAATTGCTTAGGGAATGGTCTACTATATTATCCAATCTTTAGAATTCATCTGCATAAACATGGTAAACATAGGTTTATCTAAATAGCTCCAATTATGAGTTTTATAAATATTTCAATAGTCCATGCTTAAAACACTACCAGAGCAGTTTTATGAATGCTTACTCAGAAACAAATATATACTTATTAGAGTTTATTTCTAGGAAATTTATATTAGAGCACAAAATTAACTTTCAATCCTACAATACTTATTTTTTTCTAGGATATAAATCCTGCTTAGCACAATAGAAATTGTTTCTCTATTAAGGAGCAGAGAACTCTCCTGCACAGTATTCAGAATTTAAGACAAGTTATTAGATAAAGGTAAAAAACAGCACAGAACTGATTCATACAGTATTAACTTGAAAACAATACCTCTGTTTATAATTCATCAAGAGAAGCTTGTGAAAAGCGCAGCTGCAGCAGTGAAAAGAATTTTTCACTCAGTAACTACTAATATAGCAGCACAAGGTGCAGTTGAGGGCGTTTCCAAAAGTAGTTAATCTCTGGCAAAACAACAACAACCCCAAGCCTTGTGACTTATATCAGGAAGGCATGGCTCAACTATCTAGCTCGTTAGATTGACAGATAATCTACTGGGATACCAACAACAGAAGCTCAGAACCAAAACAGTCTCATAGTCAGATAGAACAGGAAAGTGGGAGAGGGGGGAGATTATTATAAGACAAGTGATCTGAAATATAAAAGGCAAAAATCTGAATGGTAGTTACAAAACAAAAAAAGGTAATTTTTGAAGAAAAAGAACAGACAATAGATGGAAAGATTTTGGTTTATACACTTTCATTATATTCTACAGATCAAAAGCCTATAAAAGTGAACCAGATGGGGAGTTAAAATGGTGGAAGGCAGCAACAGCTGTAAAGAGCTCTTCCAAAATTAAAAAGTTTTTTTTAACCTTGTATTTTTAACCCATTTTAATCTATATCTGACTTTTTATAAATGCACATATACTGAACAGGTTACCAGTTTGTTTTAGCTACATTTTAACAATACTATGGATTTTTAAGAATGGGGAAAAGGAGAAAGAAATAGCGTGCACAAATCTGTACACAGAGTTCATCCAAGTCATTGAAGCAACAGAAAATGGAAGATTATAATTTTTAAATCTTACAGCAATAATTATAAATATTTTATAATCTGTATTTAGGAGAGATATTTTGAATTCTTGTCTGGTCTGTACCTTTTTTTTAACCAACACTATATTGGCCTCTCTCCAAGATTTTGGTATTTTCCCTTCATCAAGCACAGCATTGAAGACCTCTAATAGATATTGAGGGTATTCTGATGTTCTTTGTATAGCTCTACAGGGATACCCTCTGGGTCAGATGCTTTGTTGTTGTTTTGTTTGTTGATTGCTTTGGCTACTTCTGTCATGGTGCTTTCTTCATTAAACATTAATTTCATAGCTTCTGAAGTCTTTGGTAATTCAGCTTTCCTTAGGTAGGTTCTAATCTTTTCTTCTGAGTAGTTTTTGTTTCTTGTATATAATTTCACACAGAATCTCTGGGCAATAACTTTTTTAGAGTTCTCATCATAATATATATTCCCTTCTTCATCTTGTAATTTGTTTATTCATTGTTTTTCTCTGTAATTTCTTAATTTTTGTGCCAGCCAATGTCCAGGTTTATTAGCATTTTCAAAATATTTTTGTTTGGTTAGTTTGGTTTGTTGTGCTATTTTCTCTGTTGCCAAAATACATAGTTTATGTTTAAGAAGATCTAATTTACTTTTCAAATTTTTGTTATTAGATTCTTTCTGGTGCAATGCCTCCATTTGCTTAAGCTCTTATTCTAGTTTTTCTCAGTGTTGTTTTTTTGCCTTATTTCTTTTTGCCCTATAAGAAATTGTTACACCATGAATATATGGTTTAGCGGTGTCCCAGAGTGTCTGAATTGAAATATCATCTTGTTTATTTATTTAAAAAAAAAATTCAATTCTTTTTCTATTATATTGAATTCCTTTTCTTTGAGAATTGCCTTTTGGAAAATCCATCTAGGTGTGGCCTTATGTCGTTTCCACTGTAGACTTATGCAGTTGTGATCGGCCCAGGTGTTAGTCTCTATAGTCACTTTTCGTATTTCAGAATAAGTCTTTTGATATCCAAACCATGGCAAACCTAGACCAGGCTTTATGGTGATGTGAGTAAAATGTGTAATAATTCTCTTCATTATTCCTTTCTCTCCAAAGGTCTATCAAATTTAGATCTCTAATCATTTCAAAAAAAGTTTTGGGGAGTATCCTCCCCCCCCCCTTTTCTTGTATCATTATGTTTGTGGTCTCTTTTCCTATCTACAATTGCATCATGTTTGTGGTCTCTTTTCCTAACTACAATTGCATTGAAGTCCCCAACTACACATAACCTATCGTATTCTATATTACTTATTATGTTATGAAAGTTTTTATAGAAGAATTCTTGGGCTCCATTTGGAGCATATATCGAGGCAATTATTATGTTTTGTTATATAGCTTAATCTCAACTATTAGAATTGTTCCTTCTTTATCTTTGTACGAGGGCTATCCACAAAACAGATTATGTTTTCATCTGTAGCAAGAAGGGGCAGAGCTAGCATGGCCATCTTTGGTCTGTGCATCTGCTGCTCAGTCTGCATCTAGTCATGCTAGTGGGAGGTTTGTATCGTTGCCTGTTATTTCACAGCAAACCTTTGAAATGTGTGCTGCAATTGAAAATCCCGCGAGCTGTGAGGTGCGATCTGCAAGGAAGATTATGGCGACTGTTTTTTGGGATAGGCAAGGTGTGCTTCTTATCGATTTTCTGGAACATGGTGCAACAATAAACTCTGTGAGGTATTGTGAAATGTTGCAAAAACTAAGAAAAGCAATTCAGAACAAGCGTAGAGGAAAGTTAAGCTCAAAAATTTTGTTTTTGCATGACAATGCCTGACCACACACAGCAAATCGCACTCGAGAATGCTTTCAAGTGGGAGATTTTTCCTCATCCACCCTACAGCCCTGATCTTGCACCAAGCGACTACCACTTGTTTCCGAGGATAAAGACCTGGCTTGGAACACAGCCCTTTGATGACGACGCAGAACTGCGGGCGGGCGTGACTGACTGATATAAACAGGTTCCCTAACTTAGGTTGTTCTAGTTGATGTTTTTGATCATATCTTTTATGGACTTCTTGCAAAGCTATCATATCAGTTTTCAATTTTTGTAGTTTGACAAATATTTTCTGACATTTATTGGTGAGTTGAGTCTGTTAATATTTATTGACTAAATCCCGCATTCTTCATCTGTCATAGTGAATTCATACATAGTGATAAAAATGGCTTCCTCCTAAATAGATAAAATATAATGTGAGAATAGTCTTAGACACTCTTGAATTCTATGAAGAAAATAATGATCGACAGGCAGATTTATTATTTCTAGATGCCCAGAAAGCCTTCAACAATGTAAATTCGCCCTTTCTAATGCAACAGTTAAAACACATGGATATTGGTGAAAAGTTTTTAAAGATAATTATGACAATATATGCACAACAAGAAGAAAAAATAATAATAAATGGAGAATTGACAAGTAATGTCTATTTCCAAAAAGGTACAAGACAAGGTTGTCCTCTGTCCCCATTACTATTCATATATACATTAGAGGTCCTAATGAGAATAATTAGGCAAGAGACACAGATCAAAGGATTGGAAATTAAAAAAGAAAATTTTAAATTACAAGCATATGTCGATGACTTAGTATTTTTCTTGGAAGGCCCTGAACAAACAGATCCGAAACTATAAGAAAAACTTGAAGAATATGGAGAAGTAGCTGGTTTGAAAATAAATAAATAAAAAACAAAAATCATAACTACGAATATGACCAGCAAACAAAGAGAAAACCTTGTTAAGCTATTAGATATTCAAATAGTACAAAAAATAAAATACCTAGGAATTAATATTTTGGCACGCTGCTCAACAATTAAGGAGGATAATAATGAAAATTTATTGAGACAAATTAAAACAGATTTAGAAAATTGGAGTAACCTTCAACTATCATTAATAGGCAGAATTTCGGCAATTAAAATGAATATATTACCCAACATTTTATTTTTATTTCAAAACATACCAATCAAATTAGGGGAAAAATTCTTTAAAGATCTGAATAAAATAATGTTAAATTTTGTGTGGCATGGTAAGAGACCAAGAATCAAATTAAAACATTTACAAGGCGCAAAAGAAAGAGGAGGATTAGATTTTCTGAATTGGGAACTGTATTATTAAGCGGCCGCCTTAACATGGATTAAGGATTGGATAAACTTGGAAAATAAAAAACTTTTACTTTTAGAAAGGCATGATCTACAACAGGGCTGGCATGCATATCTGTGGCCCAGTAGACATATGACACACCAATATTTTTTGAGACATAAAATCTGACAAGCCCTAATCTCAATTTGGAATAAAATAAGATTGCAAAACTATTGGAAACTCCAAGCTGGCTCTTCTCCTTAGAAGCCATATCATATCCGAATCTCTACCGCCAGAAAAAGGCAATCACATACAAAGATATCCTAACAGATGAAGGAAGATTAAAAAAAGACTGGAATTTAACCAGCAGGGCTTAACATTGGAATGGTGGGCATATCTCCAAGTACAATCCAAATATGAAAGGGATAAAAAAGAATGAGGAATAAATTGTCAAGATACAATATTAGATAAAATATTATTAGGATCAGAGAAGAAACAAATAAAGAAATTGTATAACTACTAGATTATAAGATGTATGAGGAGCAGGTGAAAGAACCAATGTTAACTTGGGCTAGAAATTTCGGCCATAAATATAAATTTGAATCAATGGCAGCAAATTTGGAATCAGAATAAAAAGATTACATTAGCTACAAGGAAAACCTATTTAAGATGTTTTACAGATGGCATCACCCACCTGCCAGGTTAGCCAAAATGTATAGCTCTCAATCAC